CCTGCAAGGAATTCGCAATATGAATATTAGCTCCTGATTCTAACCACTAAGAATTCAAAGGCACATCTACTAAAGAAGACTCAAAACAAACTAAGGCCAATGGAATACCTGGAGAACTCTTATTCTTTTCCAACCAAGTCTTGAATTTAAAACATTCTTTCTGCCAGTGATCCTTCTTTTTACAGAACTTGCATTGATCATTTTTCTTTATAACTCCTTTGTGACCACTAAAATTTTTGTTCTGCTGACTTCGGTGGGACTTATTACCCTTACGAAACTTAGGTTTATGATTATGAGAAGACCCCTTATTCTATGATGGTTGAAAAGCTAATTGTACAATTTCAACAGTTTCACGACGCATCCTATACTCTTATTGGGAACACATTATTATGAGGTCATTCAAATTCCGTTTATCCCGCTGAGCATTGTAAGCAACCTTAAACTGATTAAATTTGCTAGGAATGCTATTCAAAACATGATAGACCAGGAAAGGTTTCGCAATGGGAATGTCAAGAGCCTTTAGTTTAGATGATATATTTATCATTTTCATGACATGCTCCCTAACACCACTTGTGCTATCATATCTCATACTCATCAATTTATTCATCAGATCCCTAGTCTCGGCTTTATCAGACTCAATAAATTTCTCCTATGGCATCCATAAAAATTTTTGGCATTTTCATTATCAGGGATGTCACCTAGAATGGAATCAGATATCGATCGTTTAATGATTTTCAAACAGAGTTTGTTAGCCCTTTCCCACTTTTCATGCTCGGCTACATATTTAACGGTACTTTTATTTGTGGGTTTCTCAAACTTTTTCTCCATTGCAAAATCCAAGCCTAAAAGACCAAGTGCTATTTCTATGTCTCGTTTCTATCTCACATAGTTATTCCCAGTCAAAATTTCAATAGCAGACAATTAATTCGAAAGAGATGAGGTATTATAAACTGTGGAAACATAAAATATCACACTCAATATCATCCAAACGTAATGCATGCAATCAAATGGATGATATAATATCCAACTAATTAATATGGGTTATTAATTAGATAATCCGTAATTTAAATCGAAACATATGAATTTTATTACGGTAAGAGCCTAGGTGCATCATCATAAAGTCACATTTGGGTCGATAATACAACATGATATAAGGTACTCTTAAAACATATCATGTAGCCAGTTAACAAAATTACACTGATTTTCGAAACTCCAACATCTTTGGGCAGAAGGAAATTTATAAACCAAAATAATTTCGTTAACTGTCTTACTTCATTTTTCAAAAATATTGCATATAATAACACTTTTGGGCAAGATATTATATGCAATAAATCAAAAGTTGTTGGGCAAAAATATATGTATTTTTATTGTAGAAAAAATTGAATAAATAAAAATGAGTGTGCCACTTTGGCAGCTACCACCCATTTTTATTTCAAAATATTTCTCTCTCAGTGGGAAAATAAGAATCGTCTCAATGCCCATGAAAAATTTAATCACAGAACAAAAATTATGCAACTAATCATGATCATTAATTGATGAAAGACAAGAAATCCATATGTGATTAATATTAAGAGACGGAATTGGCAACAAAATTTCAAAATAAAATTTAATGCATAAAAATAATGACAACATTTAAATGCATAAACATTTTAATGAAATAATACAAAAGTCGTCAATTAATTTTATTATTTATTCAATATATGATTTTAATCAGGTCAAGTTTAAATAAAATTTTAATTGGGTCAAAATTGAAATCTTAGGGTCAAACCTTTTAAAAGTTTAAATTTGATACCATTTTGAAAATTACATATTAACCCTAGATTGAAATTGAAAACTAGGTCCTTCATATTTATTATTTACAAACTTAACCTCCAATCTCAAATTGCAAAGAGGGGCCTCTGAACTCATAAATTGCAAGAGAGGCTCTCGTCTCCAATTTATCACAGCATACCAAAATTTAACCCAAAATAGAGACAACAAAAACTACCACCCATCTCGGCGCCGGTTGAAGTTACCACCAACCGGTCGAATTTCTCCCACCGGCCACTACCTCTCGGTTATTATTATTATTTTTTCTTCAAAACCTTAACAAGAAAAGCCACCCAATTTCAATATCATATAGATTTTGGTCCCTTCTTAGCCATCATATAGATTCAACATTATTTCTCAATTTTACAGCAATAAGCAAAACCACATAACTGAGATTTTGGTGGCAACATCTCACATTTATTTCAAACCCCAATTAGAATAAAAGGAACTGCAAAGGCACAAACGTATGGCTGCTTTGGATTCTTGACACAAATAATACACAAATGGCATTTGAGTAATATCTTGGGGCTATGATTTAAGAGGTTGGAGTCCAACAAAAAAAAAAAGGACCAAGTTTCTGCCATGGGTAGGGGAGGAAGGGGTGTTGCAAGTTTCTTTTCATATATTTATGAACATATAATAATATGTATATATATTCATAGTATTCAGAAGAATCAGAACGCACATCTATGCAATTTTTTTTTCCACGTGATATAGAAAAAATTTTTTTTTTGAAGGATTTCGATTTTAACATGAAGGCTCTGATACTAATTGTTGAATTTAGTTTTAATCATGTTAAGAATCGATAATCACAATCCAATAAATTAATAGAAACGAATTCATACCTGCGGAAGCCATTGTTGATATGAATGATAGTTGTAATAGTAGCCAAAATCTTCCCCTCTTTGCTCCTCACAAAAATATTAGCTATCAACGGAGCAAGTCAATAAAAAACTTATGGAGAGGAGATGAGACCTAGCCTTTATATAGAAAATAATTGAGCCGCCCCATTATGACTAGAATTCTAATTAGGGTTTATTTCTGGCCCACATACTTTAAATTACCACATCAAATTAATTACAACCTGTAAAGTGTAAAAGACCCAATTGATCACTTAATAAATTTGGCCCGAACACAATTATCATTATGAGCCATATATCTAACTCGTAAAATTTTGCAATCGAATGTGAAGCCCACATATGAAATTATTAATTATTCCAACATGCATCGACGTTTCTCTTCACAAATTTAAATTAATGGATATTTTACTGGCTGACAATCCTTAACGTTTGTTTGGTCACCAGCAGCGTTTTTCTGCAAAAATTGGTTGATTCTGCTTTAGTTTCTGGATCATGAAGCATTTCGATTCTCCTCCTTTCAGTATGACGGGTAGGGAGCATAGAAATATTGTCCACAAGTCAAATAATTCCCTCAAAAGATAGCTCCTTGGAGTTCATTATCGGTGATTTATAATATTGGACCGTGATGGAGACTATAGTAGACAAGAATTTAATTTCTTTTTCCCAATTAATTCCATTTGTTACAGTGAAGGGGCCCCGTGTTGACACCGTGATGGAGACTATAGTAGATAAGAATTTAACTTATTTTTCCCAATTAATTTCATTTGTTATAGCACCCTCACATAAGGGGGCTCCACGTTTAGCGCGGGGTCCTCTTATGTGAGAGGGCTGTGTGTCTTGCCGTACACAAGAGTGTAGAGCAAGCAGTGCCCTTCTATTTAATCTACATTACCGAACATGGCATAAAGCTGGAGTAATCTTGTAGGTTTCAAAAGGACAAGTTGAAAGTTCACATGATCAACTGGAAGCAGCTCAAAGTATTTTCAGGCTTTTTGGCGCGTTTTCCTGCTGTAGCCGCTGGGGAACCATGTAAAGGAAAATGTATTAATTGATTAGCTTTAAGCCTTCTATAATTTTTATGCCCTTTGATGCACATATATGCTATCTTGCCTTTGGGTATGTTCGTTTTCTACTTGTTCATCTGTAGGATTTGGATGGTAAATCGATTTCATTTTATGTCAAACAGCACATTGATTATGATCATGCCACCAAAAGAGAAGCGATAAAATTTGTAAATTATTGTGTTCAATTATATTCGATTATTCTCGGCTAATTTATTAATGTCATGAACATTAACCACTCTCATATAGGGACAGTCCTTACGTTTGTTCCCGTTTCTAGGATAGTATATGCTCTTGTATGGTTATGCTCAGCTCATCGTTAGCATACATTTCGATTGATTTGTTTAGTTGTAGAAATTGAGAAATCTTTGTGGGATTAGAGCTCGGAATTTTGTCGGATGAAATTCCATCGTTTTTGCTACCCCCTCGAGGCATGTCACACCCAATTCCACAATACTTTTGAGTAAGGATTAAATCAATTGCATAGCAAGCTCAAGCCATTTCTCGATGCTGGATCCATTGGATCAAGCAAGTCTGTCCAATCATCCTCTACATGAATTTTAAATTTAGGGTGTGATCAAAGTGACTTTTATTTTTTTAGGTACGTTGATATGAATAGGACAAAATAATGCCAAGCTTAACGTTGTACGTAGCGACAATTCATGTCAAGTCAATTATACAATGTTTACATTAATTTTGAGATGATTTTATTTGGGCTCTATTCGGTAGGGATTTTGAGAATTGATTTTTTGACCGTTAGAAGAAAAGTGGGGCCATCTGTAAGAAAATAAATCAAAAATTACGGTTAAAATAATGAAATAACGATCAAAAAATAAATTTTTTGAGAGTAGAAAATCATTCCCAAACACCCTCTTGATATGAGCCTGTTTAGAAGTGATTTTGAGAATTGATTTTTTGATCGTTAGGAGAAAAGTGGGGTCCACCTGTAAAAGAAAAAGTCAAATATGACTGCTGAAATAGTGAAATAACGATCAAAAAATCAATTTTTTGGATGAAAAAATCGGGCCTAAACAAGCCGTATATTTGTTCCCATTGAGATTAACAAATATCCGAGAGCCATGAATGCACAAGTACAAAAATTGAATTGTAACCTTAATCGGTCTGAAAAGCCAAAAAAGGTTCAAAACAGTCATTAATTACAAACCGACACGTGACGGTGGATGGCGTAATGCGCCTGACGCACCTAAACGCTCCTCCTCGAATCATAAATAATTTTAAACGCAAAGGCGCCAATTTTGCAATTTTCTCCCGCTACTCCCGCCCTTTATTTCTCCCCCCGCCGCCGCCCCCAACCTCCTTCTCGACATATAAATGATGATAGTGTAATGAGCTATTGCTGAGTGGTTGACTATCTGTGTAAATCACTATCCAGAAATGTATCACCACCAGCCGCACCCCGCCACCCCCATCTCCGATGCTGCATTTCTAATAAAGCGTGGCAAAACGCGGGGAAATTATAACTGCGGCCGCTGTGGTTTGCCTAAGAAAGGGCATAATTGTAATATACCTAAAGATATCAGTGGCAGCTTCACTTCCATTTCCACACTCGCCCCCTCCGCCGCCGCAGCCGCTGATGATTCGATCATCAGTGTTAGTTCTGTATCAGTGTCCGAGTCGGCAGCGCGCCATCTGCCTCCTCTGGGGAGCCGGAGAGCTTTGTCGTTTGATGATGTCAGTGAGGCTGACTCACGGGGGGAGCTCGAGTTGGAGTGTTACGAGGGGGAGTTGGATATGGATCCGGTTGCGGCGGGGAATGTGCCAGCGAGTTGTTTGTGGGAGGTGTTGAAGAGGCTGCCGCCGGTTGGGTTGCTGTCGGCGGCGATGGTCTGTAAGGGGTGGAGAGAAACCACGAGGAAGCTTTGGAGAGCGGCTGAGGAGCTCCGGCTTAGGGTTCCGGCGAAGGCACAGATTGGATTTTTTGGATCGATGTTGCAGAAATGCCCTGGACTCATTAAACTCTCTCTTACGATGGAAAGGTCAGGGACATGGAGCTGATGATCAGATCTAGGATTTTATAAAATGGATCTGATGATAATTCATTTATAAAATTAAAATCTGTTTGTTGAAGAACAGGATTAATTGATAAAAGTTGAAAATGTACAGTGCCGAGGCTAAATGCATAATCATATAAGGAATCCATAAAAAATGGTCAACAGAAAGTGCACTAATTGAAATTTAGACTTTATAAGTTAATGCTAAATTCAAATGTATGACACTTATCTGAAAATTTAGGTTACATAAAAGCCATCTTGTTGGAATTTCCAATAGGTACTACAATACATTGATGATAAATATTGAGGGCATTGGTCAAATATTTGACAGATAAATTGGGAATCGATCTGACTGTAATTTTTCTTTTGGTGTTGCAGTGATGTGGATGCAACAATGCTGGCTTGCATTGCTTTCTCCTGTCCTAATTTGCAGTCTCTGGAGATCTTTACATCTGGTACCTCTGTCAATAGGATTACCGGGTAATAATTCAATCCTTCAATGTTGTATTCTATTTCTGTTTTCTGTGCATTTTCCTGTATTAGCTTATCTTATATCTTTCATTTCTTATAAATGGTCTCTAATAGGCACAAGAATTTTTGCTACTATTTACTACAATCTCTGCATGTAAACCTAGTTGTATGTGGAACATCTATCTCAAGTCACTATAAACAATTTAATTCACAAATTTTCACGGCCTTGGAAACTGCTTATTTTTTAAAGATGCTAATTTGATCATCGATCCAATCAAGCTGAACCAGATTTCAATACGCCAGAATAATAGTCACCAGCATTTGACACAAAGAGTGGGTCCCTTCATTAATCTTGGTTGCGAAGTATGGATAAGGTTTAGACGTATCTCAATGGAGCCATCTTCTTGTCTGAATGTGAGTTTGAGGTTTTTAGATTATGCTTTGACACTTGTATCGAATGGAAGTCTAGCACATGTCACACATCAAGCTGTGGGTGGTGACATATGTGTCATGGTGGTCGCTGATCTAGTATATTTGTGGATGATGTCGTGACACTGATGATTTTTCGGAAGTAACATGTTCAGCATTGTTGGTATAATTTGAAGTTTCTCTGTATGTTGATCTCTTCTTTTGTATTTGTAGTTTTAGCTCTGATCTGGCTTTTTAAATCCAAATGTTGTTGTGAATGAAAATAATCCCTGGTGATATAGATTGCCTATTTTATGTCAAAATAATAGTGCCCATGTAATATTCTGGAAAAAAATGAGGTAAAAACTTTTGTTCCCATGCAGGGACGAATTAAGCCGTTTTATCTCTGAGAAAAGATGCCTGACCAGTCTTAAGATGGAAGGGTGCTGTAACCTTGGGGGTTTAATTTTTTCTTCAATCAGTCTGTCTACTCTCTGGCTCTCAGAACTTCATTCGCTCTCTAAGATGGTAATTCCTCTACAGATTCAATATTCACTTTAATCATATGATCCGATCTCAAACTGCTTTACACTGACATGCATTAGGTTTTTAACTGCCCCAACATGAAGGAGGTATCTTTGGATTTTTCTTGGCAAGAAAATGATAGCACTGATCTAACCACTATTGTGAATGGTTTGGGAATAAGCTGCCCAAAGCTACAGAACATACACATTGCTTCAATGCGGCTTTCACATGCCGTAGTGCTTGCTCTTACAGCTTCAAAATTGAGGTTGGCACTGTTGTTTGCACCTTAATTGCACATTGTTTTCCTCAAGTCCTTGAGTATTTTTTTTTTATCTGCATAAAATAGACGAGTCAATGATAAGAAGTTTGACAAATATATTTCAATCCTTCTATCTTTAGGGGATTGCGAATGCTTTCTCTCGTACTTGGATCTGAGATCACCGATGCATCAGTTGCAGCTATTGCTTCGAGCTACTCAAAGCTGGAATTGCTTGATCTGAGTGGGTATGTTTCAAGCCCTTGTTCTGGTATTTTTTTGACCTCAGGGGTATAGAAGTTTGTGGAAGTAATGGTTATTTTAACCAAGCCCCTATTCTTGTTGGCAATGCTGATTGCCTTGTAACCAATGCTATTTCTGGTTTGATTTCGGTGTAGCCACTAGAATATGAAAATTTGATGGATATTTCTCTTATTGTCTACTTAATTTGGTTCAGTTGAGAAGTAAATGTTTCCATGATGCTGTTTCTTTATGTAGGTCTAGTATCAGTGACAGTGGCATTGGAATGATTTGCAATGTTTTTCCAGAAACATTATCGAAACTACTACTTGCTCTTTGCCCCAACATAACATCAAGTAATCTTCAAACACTGTTCTGATACTGTCACAGTTACTTGGTTTGATACATTTTTACCAGTTCAGTACTAATTTTATCTCTCTTGTGGATCTGTAGGTGGCATTCAATTTGCCACTGCTCAACTCCCTTGTCTGGAGATCATGGACTGTGGAATGACCATATGCGATCCTGGTCCAGAGATCTCTAATAAAGAGGACAATGATAGTGACTTGCAGAGAACTCCCAACAGCAAGTTGCACCTCATATACCAGAAGCTAATTATCAAACACAGCCGGTTGAAGAAGCTAAGCTTATGGGGTTGCTCTGGCTTGGATGTATGCTTACTCTTGTTTCAAGGATATTTTGTCTTTTCAGCCTCCTGCTCAAATACTATTTTGTTCTCTGAATGTGTAAAAATTTAACACAGGCATTATACCTAAATTGCCCACAACTTATTGATTTGAATCTCAACTCTTGTAGAAATTTACATCCAGGTATGTTCTTTAAATCTCTCCGAGAGGTGACCTTCCTAAAATATTGAAGCATTTTCCTTGAATTTGAGGTTAATGTTTTACTTGCTCTAACCCCAGAGAGATCGCTACTCCAGTGCCCCAATTTAGAAAGTGTGCATGCATCAGGCTGCCAAGACATGTTGGTGAAGGCCATTCAGAATCAGGTAAAGAACCAAATCAGATTCGAGAATAAAATGTAATCAGCTTTCGACTGCGTTATTAAGACGAGTATCTTTTATTTCCAACAACTCTCCACCTTTATAAAAAAAAATTCTATATCCGTCTTTTGTGCAGAACCATATTTAGTTTTAATATTCCCTCCGTATTTCTCCGGTTTGTTTTAAGAGACGTATTCCAATTACCATATATCGACTTTTACTGTTCTTGTGATTCATTAGGAAGGATTATTCTACTATCAATCATCTTTACTGGTTAAGTGAGACAACGCTACTGCTGTTTGCGCTTCATCAATCAATACTAAATGATAAACATCTTTAAAGATTTTACCCGAAACTTGATTTACTGCAATTGACTAAAATTTTTAGGCAAATCTATTGTTTCCACTTCAACGCGTGCTGAATGATAAGCAGCATCCTAATAGATTCATCCAAAGCCTGATTTAATGCATTTGACTAAATTTTGAGTTGAAGTAGAAATGTAATTGGCATTCTGCCTGGCTTCTGGTGGTGTTTTTCACAAAATCTATTTGACTAAAACTAATTTGAACTTCAATATTTATTATGCAGGTCTCCTACGACTTTTCAGCTATGGAGGATCATTTTCCTGTCAAACGCCTACCTGATGGCTCCAAAAGAGTCAGCGTCCCGTATTTATTCAGCCCTCGGGTGAAGCTTCAACTTGTAGAAATGTGAAATATATTAACTAACTCACCGTTTCTTCTGCACTTGCTCGGAAAATTGCATACTAAACTGCGTTCATTCAATCACATATGCGTCTACTCACCGTGATAATCTTAGAGAACAAACTAAATATAGTGCTTGTTTGGTAAAGATTTTGATAATTATTTTTTTATCATTAGAGATAAAGTGAGTCTTATCTTTGAAAGAAAAATTCAAAAATGACGGTTGGTATAGTGAAGTAATGGTAAAAAAATTGATTTTAATTGATTTAAAATTTGTACCAAACAAGCACATATACATACCTAATGGACTTCATCATCTTTCAGTCTCTTGGATTACTAAAACATATGTTGACGTTATGTGAATTGTTGTAGGCCCTCTGATATTTACTCTTCCATTTGCAGCCATGTGATGAGAAGGAACGATCGAGGGCTAGGAAACGCCTCTGTGCTGTGATTTCGACGCCAAATTACGCACCTTGACACTGTTTTTATTACTCCAGAATTGGAGCACGTACTTGTTTGTCGTTCCAATCTAGAGGCGTGTATGTTGCCTCAACAGTTCAAATTATCGGTTAATTCCTTAATTTTGCTTCTATCAACAAATAAGAAACAGATTACAAATAATGAAGTTTTCAGACGACAATTTTATCCATCGACTTATATCAGTAATTGACCAAAAAAATTTCATTTACAATTGGAATGGATATCAGCAATGGTTTTACCCTAAAATAATGTATAGAATGATAAATCGAGGTGTGATGTGACCGCAGCCAGAAAGTTGATCACTGGACGTCGAGAAGAGCCCATGTTGGAGAAACATTTACGAGGTGAGTCTGAGCCAATCTCGAGACCTATTTAAAAAACTTGTGTGAATGTGTGATGCAGTGTCTAAAATTGATTTCTTCTTACGATAACAAAGTTTTCTCAAGGAGGCTTTAGTTGTATTGAATCAAGTAAAGATTTTATGTAGTCGATTCCATATTTTTATGGTAGGCTTCCCTAACTTATTTCAAAACCAAAATGAAATATTGATCCCAACCTGTGCAAATTCATTCTCCCTACACCATATTAACAAATACAAAAAATTCCGTAAGGGTCAAACTAATTAACAATCGGAAGGAATATAAAATCACACTTGAATATTACGTAAACATATTGAACAAATCATTAATATTAGGAAAACCAAGTCTACGTTCAAAGAGTTATTGTCTGTGTCAAATTAATTGTCCAACTAATATATAAGCAATTGAATGAAAATGGTACAGACAGAATCCAGCATCTGCTCGATCCACTGTCTCTTTCTCTGCTTTTCCATTTTTCAGATCAATCCCACAAAGATCGAAAGAGTAGACTGAGATGGAATTCACACATTTAATTTCGGTTCTTGCATTTTTCCATTGCTCTAGGTGCTGAAATTCAAAATTATGAGTTAATTATCACTAATAAAATAGTGCTATAGTAAGTTGTGAGTGCACTATCAATAATGCCCTTGTTTCAGCCCCATTTTAGAGGAAAAAATGAATTTTTGAATAGTGTATTGATGAGAAATATGTGGTTAAAAAATAAGAAAAAAATTTTGATTTGCGTATAATATTATTTTATTGAAGAATGTGTAGTTAAAATAGTGTTAAATCATTGTTTAAGATTATATTTTGGTGGAAAATGGGGCTCAAACAAGGGCAATAATGAATCATTCACACGTTAATCAACTCGAGGTTGAGGATCAAGAATACTAACCGAGTCCTACTACCTCCGTTCCTTTCATAATGCGCAAGCGCTTACATGATTCAACAAACATCCTGCACGATTTATATCAATAAGAGTTGGAGAATGTATTAATGACGAAAAACATTGAACCATCGAGTAAATTAACTTACTTCCATGGGACATCACCAACAAGCATCCAATCACCATCCTTGTCTTCATAAGTAGGAAAATAATCAGAATCATTCAAAAGATCAATCAGTTTGCTCCCATTCATGAAGTCCATCATTCCTATTTATCAATTCAAACACACAACATTGTTAATTTTATGAAGAAAGAAAATTTCTTGTCCATGAAATGATTCAGCCATTTTCCCCTTTCCGTATATATCTTGTAAAGTAATTAACAACTTTAATTTTTAGATGACGTGGTGTTAATATATGATTAAGTTGTGGAGCCTAATTATTAGTACGTGGATAGATTTTGTCCTAATTTGTATTATAAAGAGGGAGCCGTCCTTCCTTAAAGGCTTTGCATTACCATCATAAAAGAAAGAAAGATTGTTTAGAGAAAATAGGGTGTGTTATTTTCATTTTTAAACTAAACATCATAGTAAATTATTATAGCAGTGGAAAAAGACATATTTTCACATTAAGTTAAACCTCTATAAAGTTTTCGTGTTCTTGTGTCTAGTTTCTTTCTAAAATTTTATAGCTTTGGATGGTGGAATTACGGTTTCTAATTCTTTGAGAAAGTCTAAAGACTATTTGTAATGTTTTTAGAGAGTTTTTTTTTAATATAATATTTCTCTAACCTTTCCTAAAATAGTTTCTAGTTTTTATCTAGCTCATTTATAAGTGTTACTGATCAAAACATGTTGACTTAAATAATGACAACAGATAAAAATCTAAGTTTAAATCTCGCTGTTACCTATTTATCTTCATGCGTTTGATTGGATTGAATAGGGTTTACTTAAAAATGAAACTAGTGTTGAAAAGAAATAAAAATGAGTAATTTAAAATTTTAAGTAAAATGGTTCAAGCTACTTACCAATTTTAAAGGAACTGAACATCTTGCCCAAGGCATCAAAAAGCTCTTGGTAACTTCTGTACATCTTCAAATCCACTTTACGAAGATAAGGTGCACCATCCATGCTAACCTTCACAAAGGTGGCGACACCCATCTCCGCCTTGTCTGGACCGCTCTTTTGAACCGCCATAATATTTTTCCGGGAGGACCTAACCGGTGGCCACCCCACAATCTGTGCCCTAAACACCCATAATGTTTTTCTTAATCAAAACGAAACCAAATACTCGCCTTGACCGTATTTAATAAAGAAAAAGATGAAGTTTGGATCTCGTCCATGTTGTCCCTTTTAATTCAATACTATATAGAAAAAAGAGGAGAGAATTTACTTGGCAAGAGACTTCGTCTCCTTATGCAGATTCTTTTCTTTCTGATCTTCAGTTTGATCTATCCCAGAAATATTTAGCTTCAAATCCACAGTTTCTGTATACCCTCTTTTTCCATTAGAATTCATTGCGGGGTTTTTCCCCATAATTTCTTCATCAGTTCCAGGTAACCCTAACCTCAGTTCAGTCTCTTTCAAATCCAACTTTTCCTTATTCACCATTTTCATTACTACAACTTCCTTGGCCTGATCTTCTTCTAAGGTTTTCATACTTCTACTTGATCAATTGTTGAGTTTCTTGGTGTAAGAAAAGTGAAGAGATTAATGGTGTTTTTAGAGAGAGTTTTGTGATAACAATAATGGAGAACAAGAAAATTGAATGGCGGTATATTAATGTTCACATAGGTTGCAATTTGTCCAGAGAGAGAGAGAGAGTTTGAGTACTGTTAAAAGTTGACACGTGGACCAATGAATGAACTGGGTATTAATCTTGCTGGAATGGGTATTGACATGGATTACAGCAGCCTACTTCCAAATTCCAATTATTCATGCTTGGAATTTTGATTTTGGTATCTCCTTCAATTCACCCTTCTTGAGTAAACTTTGTTACCGTTTATTTCTATTTATTTATAATTTAAATTATTTATAAATGCTTTTTAAAAATTCTGAGACGGAGTAGGGAAATACGAAAAAAATTAATAATATTGAATTGATACATTAAAAAATCATAAAAATGTTTTCTTGTTGGTAGCAATTATTCAACTAACGTTGTCGGACACATTTTCATTGTTATGTAAAAGCTGGTCCAGACTGGCCTATTCATCAAATTTATATAAGTTTTTCTATTTTGTGATGATCCATTGTCGAAAATTAAATTTAGCATATAATTTTGACTTTCAGGGAAAAAAAAAGAAAAAAAAAAAGAAGTTGTCTGCTGCTGTTTCCAAAGCTTCCCCTTTTTCTTGAACCCTAAATTGGATCACCTACTAGCCATTTAGTGGCTTCTTTTTCTTAAAAGACAACATTTTGTCTCCTTCAAATTGCTAAAATAAAGAATATAATTTTTTATTATATATAAAAAAAATAATTCAAGATAGACTTGAATAGGGGCTGCTTGGAGAGTATTTATAATAATCAAATTTAAAAATTTCTTCTAAATCAAGTTTCTAAAGGTTTGTTTAGTAAAAATTAATTTGACTTGCATTTTTTTTTTTTAAACGCACAATCAATGTAGGTTGAAAATGCATTTATGTACACCCTTCTCGTGGTACTCGAAAGTACATTATAAGGCTCCACAAGTGCACGTTTGTGCCTGTTTTTCACAGACCGAGCTCTTTTATAATATAAATGTAAATGAATGATCTAATGAGTATCGATACTTATTTTACGATAAACATTGGTGGATATATTAATTAATCGATAAATAAAGTTATCTATATCTCAACATTTGATTAAATTTGCTGCCTACCAATGAATTGATATGACATGTCCTCAATATTTAACATAAAATGAACATCGCTGCTCATTGAATCATTTATCCATAAATGTAACGCTTATTGGATATACTTACTCATAGGACAAGTGTTTACAATATTTTAATAATTTTTATATTAAAAGTTGGAAAAATAAATAAATTATATTACTAATATTACTATCAAATTAAAAGCTTAATCTAATAATAGAGAGGGGTAGGACCCAAAATATAAGGGGCAATGTCATGTGATAAGATTCAATGGGGGCCCTCTTGAAAGTGCGCATGTGAATCTGTTGGAGGATGTCAAACCCTATTCCATGTGCGCCGCTACAGGGTATCCCGTTCACCCCACCCCCTTTCTTTATTACCATGCAGTTCATGAGTGTGAATCAAATTGTGAAATGTGTATATTATTCATTTAGTGAAAAAATTCAGCCTATATTTGGCACATTTCTATAGATTATTGAGAAACACTCAAATTATATTTTATTTAAATATTTCTAAAAATCCACAAGCAACAAAACTCTGAGTTTGAGGGCAAATTATGCAAATAGAAAAATTGATCACCTAAGAGAAGTTAAGCACTCAAAATGACGTGTTACACTATAATAGGTAGTGGGAGTTAGCACCGAGATCAGTCCCAACGCAAATAGTACTAAGGTTAGGAACTAAAAGTCTAAAGTTAAAGGTTGATTATTTGTTTGCTATGGATATTAAACCCCTATTCTATGGCCATAATTTATGGGGAAAAAATATTTTGAATAATGGTTTTTTGAAAAAAGCATAGTTAAAAAGTATGAAAAGTTTTGAATTTACTTGCAAAATATTTTATTGTGTGAATGTGCGATTAAAAATTAATATGAGAATTAAAGAGTTTTATTCTAGAGCAATGCTATTCAGTCCCACTGGTACTTAACACCAGTTTAAGTGGCAAGTAGATGCTATTAAATGATATATTCATTTAAATACAAATTCAAATGATCCATTTAATCGGATCTATCAAGTGTAGCAATTTAAACTAGCATTAAATAACATTATTCTTTGTTTTAAAGGGAGACAAACAGGTACTAATTGTCCAAAATTTCACCAAAAAAAATAATAATAATAGAAGGAAGGGAGGAGATTTATAGTGTGGCTAATTGAATCGAACCGATCCGATTTAACTCTAGAATATCTTGAATAATTCAAGAAAAAAAATTTAGAAACACTTCCTAAACATGCTACTATCATTTAATTAATTTACTTATCATATTATTATATTTTCAAGTTATTTGAGCCTTGATTGAATTATTTCGTCCCTCTCGTCATAACAGGATAAGGATTACTTTGATCCAGAGATATACTGAAAATTTAAGTCTTAACTTGAAGAAAATTAAAATCTTGATGCCATTTAGGCTCCCAAATTGAGTTGGTTGTTTCTCACCTTGCTTTTCCAATGTTGGAGATGGGATGGCCTTACAATGGGTAGCGACCTCCAACAGAGATGGTTTTATGATCTCCTTGGAAGTTCTATCCGGACAAAGTAGTACAATTGGTTAAGAATACTATATTTCATAAGATTGTATACTCCAGCAATTTCGGAATGCAAAGGGAAAGGACTTTCTTTATGATAGTTTCTTACGAGAATCAGAAATTCCGCTATCACTTCCCACCATAAAAGTTAAGACTAAAGAATCACCCGATTGACGATGACATGTTTGAAGAAGAGGCGGTGCCCTCTAATCTAAGTGTACCACTCTACCTACTAATGGACTTTGAGAGGCTCAATCGTAAAAGTCCTAATTGCGAAATTGAACTCGTGGCATAATGATGGTGTCAAATATCCACTAATCCTATTTTTTTATATGGTTGATGGTTGACAGCTCTTCTAATTATTTCAAGCGTAGTTTTCATAATTAAGTGGAGCTCAACATTTTTCCGTTTGTTACATTATTTAGAAGTTTAAATTATTAAAATAAATTAATCTATTTAAATTTTTTCAATAACAATCACAAGTGACAGGAAAACAAGACTGGAAGTAGGTAATGCCATATTCCCCACAATGGGCCAGAAGTAAACCCGAAAGTCCAAGTCCAAATCTAATCCCACGGGTGGTAAGACCAAGTCCAAATCTAATCTCACTGTCAACATTTAATTTCTCACACGTGTGTTCCATCTCTAATTTAGGCCCCGTTTGACATCCATTTTTTTAAAATGCATTTTCTCTCTCTTCTTTTCAACTACACATTTTTTATTAAAATAATATTATACGTAAATTAAAAAAATTTTCTTATTTTTCAACCACATATTTCCCATCAATTTACTATTCAAAAATATATTTTTACATAAAAATGTCTTCCAAATATCTTATTAGTGTTTGTTTGAGCCACATTATTTTTTAAGGATATATTTTGGAATAATAGATTGATGGAGAATACGTGGTTAAAAAATAAGGAAAAATATTGGATTAGCGTGTAATATTATTTTATTGAAAAATGTGTGATTGAAATGATGTCAAATCACTGTGTAAGAATGTATTTTTTTTTTCTAATAACGCGTCTCAAACAGGGCCTTAATACTCTCAATTTGCTTCTAATATATCCTTATATATAATAATTTAAAATGAATAGTTTATATTTGTTGATAACAAGATACATTACAAAGAGGTACATAAAAAGGAAAAATTGCAACAACAGTCCCTAATATTTTCAATTTTTGCAAACTTTACCTTAACATTCATTTTGTACCAATAAAGATTCCAAACCTTTCATAAATGTGCAGCTAAAGTCCATTTGGACGGAAACCGTCCATTGTATCGTTAGTTGACCAAAAATTGGAAAAATTGATCAATTTTGACCAAATTGGAGAGGGCCATTTTAGGTCTTTGCATTTTTTTATATTAAAATTAGTTATTTAATTAAATTAAAAAACAAAAAAATAAATATAAATAATATAATATATAAATTCTATCAAAAACTTTCTCCTCCTTCTTCGGCGAGACTACTACCCAGCCACCACCTTTGACCATGCTGTCGTCATTGCCACCACAACTCCCCTCACCATAACCCCCGTTACCAGTGGAAGCACCCTCCACATACTAATTTAGTACAAAAGCTTTTGTTCAATTTTCATTAGGGTTTAGTAGGTCAGGGTGGTGATGGTGGTGGTAACTATAGCTGCGTCGATGATGGTGGAAGCTAGTAGCGAAGATGAAGGATCTGGGTAATTTTTTTGGTTTTAATTTAATTATTAATCTAAGATTGACGAAAATCCCCCTTCCTAAGTTGGTCAAAATTGATCAATTTTTTCAATTTTTGGTCAACTAACGTTGCAATTGACGGTTTCCATCTAGATGGACTTCAGCTGCACATTTATGAAAGGTTGGGAACCTTCATTGGTACAAAATGAAGGTTACGGTAAAGTCAGCAAAAATGAAAAAGGTTATAGACCACTGCTAAAATTGTTACTAAGTTTTACAAATTAATTATATTTTCAATAAGAAAAGTAATTTATGATTTGGGGCCAAAAAAAAATAAATAAAAAATCTATCTTTATTGGGGAGGGATGGAGGACTATGTTTCTATTCCTTGAATTTAGGTTCCTCTAGTCCTC